GTGAGGGATGAGGTGCGGGAGATGTGGGAGACACGGTTGAGGGCGTTCTCGACCACCGAGGAGGGGAAGTTACGGTCCTTGAAAAACGAGGACAACTGAGATGTACGGGAGTGGAATGCCTCATCCTGGGAGCAGATGCAGCGGAGGCGAAGGAATTGGGAATAGGGATAGCATTTTTGCAGGAAGGTGGGTGGGAGGAGGAGTATTCTAGGTAGCTGTGGGAGTCGGTGGGCTTGAAATGAATATCGGTTTCTAGGTGGTTGCCCGATATGGAGACAGAGAGGTCCAGGAAAGGGAGAGAGGTGTTAGAGATGGTCCAGGTAAACTTAAGGTTGGGGTGGAAGGTGTTAGTGAAGTGTATGAACTGTTCGAGCTCCTCGTGGGAGCACGAGGCGGCGCCGATACAGTCATCAATGTAACGGAGGAAGAGGTGGGGTTTAGGGCCGGTGTAGGTACGGAAGAGGGATTGTTCCACGTAACCTACAAAGAGGCAGGCGTAGCTTGGGCCCATGTGGGTACCCATGGCTACCCCCTTTGTCTGTAGGAAGTGGGAGGAATTGAAAGAGAAGTTGTTGAGTGTGAGGACGAGTTCGGCTAAGCGGATGAGGGTATCAGTGGAGGGGGACTGGTCGGGCCTGCGGGACAGGAAGAAGCGGAGGGCCTTAAGGCCATCTGCATGGGGAATGCAGGTGTAGAGGGACTGGACGTCCATGGTAAAGATGAGGTGTTGGGGACCGGGGAATTGGAAGTTCTGGAGGAGGTGGAGGGCGTGGAAAACAAATTTGTGGCATATAAATGTCTTTGTTGGCTTGTTCGACAATTTGTTGGCCCTTATAACCTTAAACAGCTCGATCTATATCTTTTTCATAATGTGAAATTGTCTAGGGCCAATTGAAATAAAATGCAAAAAAAACCCTATTTTTTGGAAACAGTTTTTTACATTTTTTTAAAAGGCTAAATCCAACCATGTTCATTTTCTGAGGAAAATATGGCCACACCTATCACTGTCAAATAAAAAAATTCCAGCATTTCCAAACCTGAAGGCATCTCCTTCTCAGGTTGTCTAATCACAGATTGGTTACAATGCAGAAAGAGGCCATTCACCCCATTATGCCCATACTGGCTCTCTGCAATAACAGTTTAGCTAGTCCACTCTCTTCCATCATCAGAGCCCTGCAGATATTTCAAATCCAATTTCCTTTTGGAAAGTAATATTTGAGAACATCTCTACCACATTGTTAAGGAATGCATTCCAGATCCAAACCGCATGCCGCATTTTTTTTAAAAAAAGGAAACATTTTCTTCATGTTGTGTTTGGTGTTTTGCCATTCACCTTAAATCAGCTTCTTCAACCTTCAGCACAGTTACTATGTTCGGGCCCTTCCGGATTTAGCATAAATCTCCATCCAGCCTTCTCTCCTGCAAGGAAGTAAGCTATTTTCCAATCTATCCTAATCCCTGGAACCATTCTTGCACAAATTGTTTTCCATAGTTGCTCAACTGCCTCCCAACCCTTTCTAAGGTGTGAGGTTGAACCAATGTTTTGTAAATGCATGGTATAACATATAATATGCAAAGCAGAATAAGAAAAATCAAACCACAAAAACCTTTTTCCTAGTTAGTTGAAGTCCTTTTTTGTGTAGTGGAGTTTTAATGAATATTTAGCAATGTTAGTGTGAAATATTTATTCTTACTTTGAACTTTAGAGTGCCAATATTATGCTGTTAAAAGCTATGAAGCAAAAAATGAAGATGAACTGTCCATGAACGTGGGTGTTATAGTTGAAGTCTTGAAAAAGTCCAGTGATGGATGGTGGTTTATTAGGTATGTCCTACTTTATTGTTGAATAATTATTCATTAATCAGTAGCTCCAAATAACTAATAGTATGTGACAGCTACAATTTAGGATCTTAAATTGAATCAGTCAAATTCTCAATGTCACAACAACTTTATTTTAAATCTGAAACTCGATTTGAACATCTTTATGGTGAAATATCACTTACTTTCTGTTTCATCAGCAACTTCCTTTAATCAAAAATGAGCAAAACAAGAGATTAGAGAAAACTTTAAAACATTTTTTTAATTTAGGAGACAATTTAACTTAAGCAGAATTCAATCTAAATATATTGCATTCAGCATAAAGAGAATTGCAAGGAATGATATCAATCATGTGCATTTTGGAATCAGCAAAGCAATGCGAAGACAAACTTGTCATTTTATTGTTTAATAGGTACGACGGTCAGTCTGGGTATGTTCCATCGCTGTATCTGCAGCCATATAAAAACCCTCATTCAAAGTTACAGATTCTCACCAAGCCAGGCAGATGGGCTTCCACTCCAGATCTCTCGGCAAACGTTGACAATTTAGCTGCGCTGTCAAATGTTGAAAAGCAGAACATGCACAGTAACCAAGGCAGGTCCCCCACAAAAACCATCAATAACTCTCTTAAACTGCAAAGGCAGCAATCAAGGTCTTCCACCTGCTTGCCTGACGAAAACCTATCTGAAGGTGGGTTGAGCCTTCCCAATTCAGACGAGTCAGATAGCAGGCCAGAAAGCTTGTGCGATGATAGTTTAGGCATGTCAGAGTCAACTGAGGACAGACGTTTGCCAGATAGTTACCACATCCTTAAAGGCTCCGATAATGTGGCACGACTGTTTGAGAAGAACCTAACTGCTGAAGCCATGTCCAAGAATGATTCGGGAGTGGAAAAGTTGGATTTGAGTTCCAGGCCTGAAACTTCAATGAGAGAGAAAATTCCAGCTACAAACGTCGTCCCCAAAATACCTCCAAGGCCACATCGCCAAGAAATACTGTCAAGGTGCACAACCTTCACCAAGAACGTGGTTCTGAGATCTCAAAATATTCCTACCTTCCAAAGTTACAAGACAGAGCCTTGGGTCACTCAACCAAAGTATTGCTGAGAAAGAAAAGTTTTGTTTTTTACTTAAACAATATTTTGAAATAGTATGCAGAAGCTGCAGATTTTATACAATTTATTTGATGGAAATATAGGTAGTGAGCGATGCTACAATCATATTAGTTTTTAGGTTTGTGTATAGAACTGCTACTCGGCAGGGTAGGTACGTTAATCCATAATAAGGGTCACAATGAAGGAAAAAATACTAATTACTCTTTCTTTCTGGAAAAATCCATCAATTGGACTCTGTTAAAGTAGCCACTGATGCTTATCTTTTCATAATGAACTCTACAGAGTGACACCAGGATTGACAAGAGGAATGCTCATTTTCAGCACATCCCAAATAACAATTGTGTAAATACCCATTAATTATATTTGATTAATAAGTCAATATTTGATAGTTTTTAAATATAGTAAATAACTGATTTTGGGACGTTCTGAAGTGAAATTTGTTCGGTGTGACAAATATCGAAATGTTTTTAATGCGATGCTACAATGAAGGTAGTCATTGATTTAAAAGTTTACTGTTACTGGTTGTTAAAGTTTATTAGTATTTCTGGCTGGCTTTGAGGCATCCAAATCAAACAACATTTCTTCCAGGTCTGTCTGTAGTCCAATCCCAGACCAACACTATTTGTTTTTTTAATTGCCTCCTGAATTTGCCAAGCAAACAACTCTGTTGTAACAAAATCACTGCAATGCAGGTTAAGTCAACTATCAACTTTTCAGGGCAATTCTGGATAGCTAAAAATACCCACAAACCAATTTTTCAAAGAAAAAAGCCTTGGTAAAGGATTACAGGTAGAAAAATAAGAGCTCCCTCAGTTATTGCTGAAACTTGTGTCATTGTACACTTAGTGAGAAAAGTGATTCAAATCCATCTGGTCAACCATGATTCTGCCCAATTGACAAAGAAAATCAAAACTGATATTATAACTTAGCAACCAATTATTATATTCAAATTTGAGCAAGTTGTATTTTCCATAATGGAAAAAAAAGCTGTTCATCATTACACAACCATAGCTTATGTTAAGAAATGTAACCAGGTATTTTCTAGATATGGGATGGTACAATAACTACAACGGATTTGTATCTTTCCAGGAATCATGTCCTTTACTTATAGGTGACAACTGGTTTTCTGGTTCAGCTATATTTGCTCTTTTATTTCCTTTGATAATGATTCTGTACTTTTGAGTTATGCAAAATTGCAATAAACGTTTTATGTATTTTAAAGTGTATGATGTATGTGAATATTTTCACTTGCTTAGGCAAAACATATTCACATTTGCAGTTTCTATTGGGGGGAAGATAACTGCCTCTGCCTCACAATTTTTGTTACCTGGATTTCCTGAATCAACTGAGTACACTCATCTGACTGATAAGAATATCACATTCCAATACAGGCCATGTTGTTGGTGTCCATCATATTAAATTAATTTGAAGTAAGTCACGTTCAGATCAGCCATGATCTTATTCAATGGCGGAGCAGGCTCGAAGGGCCAGACAGCCTACTCCTGCTCCTAGTTCTTATGTTCTTGTGTTCTTATGATCATTATTACATTGTTGTTTGTGGCAGCCTGCAGTGTGGAAATTGACCATTGTGTTTGCGTTACAGCTGTGACTCCATTTTTAAACTTCATTTCTTTTTAAAGGGCTTTGTGACACCCAGGGGCAGCAAAAAATAAAAGTCTTTATTCTCGTTGTTTGCTTTTCAAAGCCAGACTGTAGCTGCTGGAGGGTAGATGTATGCTGCCTGTTACAGGGGCTGGAAGAGTTTCTCAAAGGAAAGAAAGAGGAATTTTGGTAATGGAGTCCTTATTGATGGATGTCAAAAGACAGAGAGATCACTTTTTGACAGGACTCAGAATGCCTAGTAGATACGACTTTAAAAGGCAAAGGAAAGGCATTACAGAGATAATTGCAGGGTTAGTCTCGAGTGTTTAATTACAAAGCCTTCGTGCGAGTGATCAAGCTTTTCAAGTGCAGATGAAGAAGGTTACCTAAGATCACAAAGAGATGTTGAACAATTGGGTCAATGAGCTGAGAAGTTGCAGATGGAATTTAATTTAGATAAATGTGAGGTATTGCATTTTGGTAAAACAAACAAGGGCAGGCCTTATGCAATTAACGGTAGGGCCTTGGGTAGTGTTGTAGAACAGAGCGACCTAGGATTTCAGGTACATGATTCTTTGAATTTCCACCATAGGTAGATAGGCTGGTTCAGAAGGCAATTAGCACACTTGCCTTCATTGCTCAGACCTTTGCATATAGGAGTTGGGACGTCATGTTGAGATTGTACAGGATGTTGGTGAGGCCTCTTCTGGAGCATTGTGTCCAGTTCTGGTCGCCCTGTTATAGGAGGGATATTATTAAATTGGAGAAGGTTCAGAAAAGATTTACCAGGCTGTTGCCAGGAATGGAGGGTTTGAGTTATGGGGAGACACTGGATAGACTGTAACATTTTCACTGGAGCGTAGAAAGTTAAGGGGGGTGACCATATGCAGAGGTTTATAAAATCATAACGGCTACAGATAAAGTGAATGGCAGGTGTCTTTTCCCTAAGGTGGGGGATTTCAAGACTACGGGGCATACTCTTAAGGTGAAAGGGGAAAGATTTAAAGAAGACATAAGGAACGTTTTTTTTACACAGAGCATGGTTTGTGTGTGGAATGAACTTCCTGAGGAAGTGGTGGATGTAGGTACGGTTACAACTTGAAAAGACATTTGGATAAAGTACATGAATAAGAAATGTTTGGAGGGATATGGCCTCAGCGCAGGCAGATGAGTCTAGCTTAGTTTGGGATTATGTTTGGCATGAACTGGTTGAATTGAAGGGTCTGGATCCATGTTGTATAACTCTATGACTGTATGACTCTATGCAACTTCCTCCCAAACACACCACAACTTCACACATTATATAATTCACCATTTCCTCATCACCCACCCATCAACAGTCTCCAGTAATTATATCTGAATGCTGAACATTCAGATGCTCCATCTCATTATTACACAGTCACCACTGCTGCATAGCTCACACCCAGATCTAACAGCTTCCAAAGATTGAGTTATTCCGCTGTGGCAGGCACATGAATCAGGCATCAGATTGCAACACGCATGCTGACACTCTTCCCTCTCTCTTGCTGTAAAAGGGAGAACCAAAAGGGAGTAATAGGCAACCAGAAAAAAACACTATACCTCCTGAAGAGTACTCTGCATAATTGACTCAACCATCATTGAAGCTGTTGAAGATGATATTACTGAAACCATTCACAATGCTATTTTCACATCTTGTGCACTGAAATGACTCCACAGAGGCCGGATGTCATGTGTAAACAAAATCGTCCTTTATTTACAAGTGAACAGTCCTTGACTATAGTACTGCCTCGTACAGAGTCAGGCACTGGAGTTTCAGTATTGCTAACACTGACCCTTTTTATGTGTCAGCCAGGGCTCTCTAATTGGACCAGGTTAACAGCCCCAGTTAGGGAACTCATATTTTATGATATTCAGCTGCCTGACCTCGTTATAATCACTACACACATCTTCTCAAATCTCACCAGCTTCACCCTGCAAATCTGGCAGGAAACATAAGATAAATAGTGTGAACATGTACCTCTTACTTTCTATTCAAAAGTCCCTTTTACACTCCCTTAGTAATCTAAAAATTACTTAAGGAAGTGGCACTAGAAATAGTAGATGCTTCAGTGGTTGTCTTACACAATTCTACAGATTGGGGAACAGTACCTAAAGATTGGAGGGTAGCTTATGTAACCCCACTATTTACAAAAGGGAGGTAGAGAGACTGAAAATGCTACAGTTTGTTATATAATACATGAGAGCACAGCACTGTGAAATCTGTGACTGGATCAGAAAGTCAACATGGATTTACCAAAGGGGAATCATTCTTGAAAAATCTGGAATTCTTCAAGGATGTAACTTGGATGGTTGATAAGGGGAAACCAGTGGATGTAGTTTACTTGGACTTTCAGAAAGTTTTCACTGAAGTTCCATATAAGTGATTAGCATGTAAAATTAAAGCAACTCACTATCACACTTTTTAAATAGTGGGGTTACATTAGCTATCTTCCAATCCATAGGAACTGTTTCAGAGTCTAAAGAATCTTGGAAGATGATCACCAATAGATCTACTGTTTCTAGGGTCACTTCCTTAAGTATTTTGGGGAGGGCTAAGGGAGGGTAAAGGGGGTTAGTGAATAGTGCGTGTTCACACCATCCATCTTATGCTTTGTGCAACTTTGCAGGATGAGGCCGGTGGGTGTGCTGACATGGATAGAGAGCTAGCAATAAATGGGTCTTTTTCTGAGTAGATGGCAGTGACCAGTGGGGTACTGTGCCGCAATCAGGGCTGGGACCCCCGCTATCCACAATATATATTCATGATTTAAATGAGGAAACTAAATACAATATCTCCAAATTTGCAGATGACAGAAAGCTGGGTGAGGGGGTAAGCTGTGAGGAGGATACAGAGATGCATCAGTGTGATTTAGACAAATTGAGTGAGTGGAAAAATGCATGGCAGATGAAGCACAATTATAGAGAAATGTGAGGTTGTCTACTTAGGTAACGAAAATAGCAAGGCAGACTACCATCTGAATGATGTGGAGGTGCTGTTGTTGGACTGGGATGGGCAAAGTCAGAAGCCACACCACATCAGGTTATAGTCCAACAGGTTTATTTGAAATCACAAGCTTTCGGAGTGTTGAATGGTGATGGATTGGGAAAATGGGGTGATGTGACAAGGTTTAGTCGACCAGTCTCTGAAAGAGAGCAGGTATTGAAGATGGTACATGGTATGTTGGCTGTCATAGCGAGAGAATTTGAGTATAGGAGTAGGAATATAATGTTTCAATTGCGCAGGTCCTTGGTGAGAGGACATCTGGAGTATTGTGTACAGTTTTGGCCTCCTTATCCAAGGAAGGATGTTCTGACTTTGGAGGGAATGCAACAAAGATATACCAGACCGATTCCTGGAATGGTAGGACTGATGTATGAAGAGAAACTGGATTGGTTGGGATTATATTCACTGGAGTTTAGAAGAATGAAGTAGGGGAAAATCTTATAGAAACCTACAAAATTCTAACAGGACAAGACAGGGTAAACACGGGAAGGATGTTCCTGATGGGCAGGGAGTCCAAAACTAGGGCTCAATGTTTAAGGATGTGGTGTCAGTCATCTAGGATAGCAATGGGGAGAAATGTCTTCACCCAGAGAGTAGGGTGAGCCTGTGGAATTCTCTGCCACAGAAAGTAGTTGAGGTCACAACCATAAGTGCTTTCAAAATGGAGTTCAATCTAGTTCTTAGGGCTAAAGGGATCAGAGGGTATGGGGAGAAAGTGGGAATAGGCCACTGAGTTGTATGATCAGCCATGATCATATTGTGTAGTGGAGCAGGATGGAAGGTCTATATGGCTTACTCCTGCCCTGAAATTCCATGTTTCTAGATGAATGCTTTCAAATACCCAAGATATGGCCTGATGATAAAACACTGGCACTCAATCAGATTGTCACAGTCACCAGTTCAGATACTGGCACTACACATGCCCAGGGTGTACCTAGAGGCAGAATAGCCATATGGTGAGGCAAGAGTAGGTTGCATACGATGGGCAGTGTACATGAAGAGGTTGATTGGCATGTATACCAGCAAACGTGGCACAAAGAAAAATATTCGCAGGGCTGCCAAAGATCCAACTGTCAATATAAAGGAGCATGGAAGGTCTCCATCACCAAGTTAGTTTGGGGAACCCACCCTTTCTAGGATGGTGATAGTGGAGAAGCCCACCTATAAAGGCAGTGAGAAGTATAGATAGAGTCAAAGGATGGAAGGTTGGTTTGTGTGACGGTCTGGACTGTGTTCATGACTCTCTGTAGTTTCTTACAGTACTGGGCAGAGCAGTTGCCATACCAAGCTGCGATGCATCTGGATAGAATGCTTTCTATGGCGCATCTGTAAAAGTTGGTGAGGGTCCTTACGGACATGCTGAATTTCCTTAGCCTCCTGAGGAAGAAGAGGAGTTGTTGCTGGCTGTCTCCGAGGACCCTCAGAATGAGGTCACAGGATGATTTTCAACTGCTTTACAGATTCTACCATTCACGCTGTGATTTATTGGTCAAAAAGGATGTTAAGGCTCTTACAGCTACTTACGCCCTCATATTGCTGAGGTGCTGACCTGGCAGAGTGGCACTCTCTGTGGGGTGCCCCAATTCCCCCCCAC